CATTTATCGGCTGCCTCCACACACACCCCCCCCCCCCCCCACACACACATACAGGATAGAGCTGTGACCGGGAATAGAACCGTGACCTCCTGGCTCATCGGTGGATGCTCAAGCCCTGAGCCTCACCGGCTGAGTGGTAACTGTTTCAGGCTCCATTGCGCAGTCTCTTCTGCAAAACCGTTCCTCGTGTTCCTTCGCCCCTGACCTACCTCCGGCCGCTTACCCAGTCGCCACCTTCGGGCCCACCTCAGCCATCCTGGCCCCTGAGACCAGCAGCCGGTGTCCTGCCTCACCTCCTGATGCCCAGCACGGGAGCTCCCGCACTGGGGGAGTTATTCCCCAGGTGGAGGCCCCGCCAGCGCTGGTCACCCGCCTCTGCGGCCCCCACACCTCCTCCCTCCGGCCTCGGCTTCCACCGCCAGGACTAGCTCTGGGGCGGCTGCTCCTTCCAGGCGAGGAGAGGCCAGGGCGCCCCTTACAGATGCTAAACCAGCATGGCGGCCGCCCCCCTTCCTCCGGGATGGTCCTGGCCTCGAGGGGGGGGGGGGTGGCACTCGCCGAGGGGCCAGGGGAGGAGCCTGACCGGCCCCTGTGGACCTGCAGCCCTAGCGCTGCCCCTGGCCCTCAGGCTGACTTCCTGCAGAGCCACTTCCGGGGCAGGAGGTGGAACTCATTGGAAGGTGGGGGCACCTGGCTCACCTCCACAGGCGGCCCCGGACTGGGCCTGGCCAGTGGGGCTCAGGGGCTGAGCATCGACCTAGGAACCAGGAGGTCAGGGTTCGATTCCCGGTCAGGGCACAGGCCCAGGTTGTGGGCTCCATCCCCAGTGGGGGGCGTGCAGGAGGCAGCCGGTCCATGATTCTCTCTCATCATTGATGTTTCCATCTCTCTCCCTCTCCCCTCCTCTCCGAAATAAAAAACAAACATTTTATATGAATACACACACACACACACACACACACACACACACACACACATATACACTCAGTATAATATTTTTTTTAAATGGGACTGCCTTGCATTTACATACCCGTGTTTTTAATGTTCACCGCCTCACTAGGGGAACGAGTGCCCTAAGGACGGTGGTGGTTTGGAAAAAACCAGGCCCCTCCGTGACCGAGTGTCCTGCGCTGCCCGAGCGGCCCTGGGCTGAGGGCCCTTCTAGGCCTGCGCCAGGAACAGGGCCAAGGCCGCACACGTGCTGGTTGGCAGCCCGGTGAGGTGGTGCCAGCCCCGCCCCTCCCGGTGCCCTGGACCAGCCAATGTTCCCCATGGACTGATTTGCACAGTCCCCGCAGGCGGCTTTGGCTGGCCTGCACCTGCCGTCCGCGTCACTGCTCCTGCGGCTGGCACTCTGGCTGCATTTTTCCAGGAAATTAAATCGCTAGGTTTTTCCAGATGGGTGCACTCTTGTGACTCCGATACAGACTTTGGAGCCTTGATTTTTAAAAAAAATATATATTTTATTGATTTTGTACAGAGAGGAAGGGAGATAGAGAGGTAGAAACATCAATGAGAGAGAAACTTTGACCAGCTGCCTCTTGCACACACCCTACTGGGGATGTGCCCGCAACCAAGGTACATGCCCTTGACCGGAATCGAACCTGGGACGTTTCAGTCCGCAGACTGACGCTCTACCACTGAGCCAAACCGGCTTCGACTTTTGTGTACTTTTTAAATCACATTTCCAGAACTTCTACCCTCTTAGGACTCCCCTCTCCGCGGTTCTAGAACCGTTTGCTCCGTATGTGGCGCGCATGCAGGACCTTCTTGCAGGAAACTGAGTGAAGCAGGGATGGAGGCTCACAGGGTGGCTGCTGGTCTGGGAACGTGGGGCTGGGGGTCGGGGTGCTGCCTCCTCCGCAGGCTGAGATGAGGGGGCCCTTCTTGGACTGTTCTGACTCCCCGGATCTAACTCCTGCCAGTTTGCATGGCTCTGTGCTCGCTGTCGCCCCGTCTGGCCTGGGGACAGGCCTGGGCGCTGGTAGCAGCCGGGGGAGGGAGGGCAGGCCCTAGACCAGCTGCGGGTGTGCTCCTCACGTCCGTTTCTGTGGCTCCGTCAGTCTCTCCAGCTCCCCGGGCTCTGCGTGGGAGAGGGGCCTGCCTTCTCCCCCTGGGCCACCAGCTCGGTCCCTGGATCGATCCACTGCCGCTGCCTTCCGAGCTGGCAGACCTCCAGGCGTCGTGTTGGCTTGGGTGGCGGTGCGTCCGGTGCCATGCAGAGTCCTCTGGTCACTCCGATGGGAACGGTGACATGAACCACGTCAGGCTCGGCACCATTGTTCAGCGCTGGCTGCCCCCTCTGCCTCAGACGTCAGCACAGAGACCCCCGGGCTTCTCCCCTTAGTTACCGTCACCTCCAGGGACACGGCCAAGCCTGTGGGCTGCTGCCCGCCCGCCCGCCCGCCCGCCGTGCTCCTGGCCTGGTGCTCACAGCCGTTTGGTGTGGAAGTGTACACTAAACACACACATAGAATACTGTGCAGCCATTTAGATGTAGGATAATGCAGACGTGTTTATTGGCAGCTAGTTACCCATAACATGTTAAATTTTTAAAAATTACAAAATAGTACAGTATGACCTCATTTTTGTAAAAAGGTTGCTATGTATACAGGTACACGGATCAACAACGTGTTCATAGTGGTAGGATTATGGATGCTCTCTTTTCCTAGCAGCTCTTCATGTTCTCTGAATTTAAAATATAACCACATCCAGTTGATTCATTAATTTATTTTATTATAGATTGGTTTTTAGAGAGGAAGGGGGAAAGAGGGGGAAACACCGATTTGTTCCACTGCCTGATGTATCCACTGGCTGCTCTGACATGTGTCCTGACCGGGAACTGAGCCCACAACCTTGGTGCCTGGAGACACGCTCCACACAGCCGAGCTGCCTGGCGGGCCATCTACTGTTTCCGATTTAAACGTTACTTCCATCTTTAACGTGTCCAATCAAGCACATGTTAAAGCAAGTTTTTCCAACAGGTAACTCACTTGAGGTTTTTTAGACATTTGAAACAACTGAATTTCTGAATCAAATCAGAATGTCGTATTGTATTCTCCTTGATGCCTCTACCCAGATGATATCTTCGTGTCTATATGAAATTTGTTATTTTATTTTAAAGCCCGTAATTACCCATTTGACTCCTCTCTCTCACTCTTTTCCTAAATATTTTTTATTTCAAAGAGGAAGGAGAGGGAGAGATAAAAATATAAATGATGAGAGAGAATCATCCATCGGCTGCCTCCTGTATGCCCTACACTGGGACGGCAACCCGGGCAGGTATCCTGACTCGGATCGAACCGTGACCTCCAGGTTCATAGGTCGACACTCAACCACTGAGCCACACCAGTCAGACGGCTCTCTCTTTTTTATTCGTTACAAAACTGTAACTGGACATTAAGATCCACTTATAATCCCCCTTTAAAAGATACTAATTTACATAAATAAGGCATTGCAATGACCTCTGCACAGTAACATACTCCTGGGTATCTTAGATCCGAAGGATAATTGCACTTAGTTTATACAGCAACGGCATTGCTGTGGGGAAACAGAAGGTATTTTATCCAGTCCTTTCCCACCTTAGTGTAATCAAAACGCTCACTGAGTCAGTTTCCGAGAAAGAGGAACAGGGCAAACACTGTCTATGGCTACAGTCTTCTGGGGATACGGGTTGTGTTGTTCTTGGCAGTTTCAGTCCATTTCCATTGACACAGCGACCTCAGCACCAGAGAGAACTACCACCATGCCTACATGTGACTACAGCCGCTCCGGTCCGGAGAGGGGTCGGAGGGGCAGGCGTGGCCTCACACCCACCCCGCAGGCCGGAGCCGGGCCTGTCGGGCGGCGCTCGGCTCCTGGGGGCTCAGCGGCCCGCACACCGCCTCACTTCAGGTCCAGGAGCATGGCCGCCGGGTTTTCCAAGTAGGACTTCCACAGGTTGGAGAAGCGCGACATGGTGGCGCCGTCGATGACCCTGTGGTCGGCCGACCAGCTCACCTTCATGATGTGCGCCTTGTACACGTCTCCCTTCTGGCTGAACCGGGGCAGGGGCTGGGGAGCAGGAGAGGAGTCAGGGCGGGGCGGGAGCCGGAGAGGCTGGCACGTGCCTCCCCAGGCCTCCGGGAAACGCCGCGCTGCCCCCGCCCCGCGGAGGACGAACCCCCCCTCCGGGTCTCAGCACGCCCCCCCCCCCCTCCCCCCGCAGCTGCCCGGCACTCCCTCTGCAGAGGAATGTCATCTCAGACTTCGGCCACGGAACGCGCTCTCCGAGCACCTGCTCCGCCCCAGGCCCCCCAGACTCTGGGGCTGAAGCGTGAACAGAACCAACAGCCCTTCCCGCTGGGAGCGCGCATTGTAATGGGGCGACAGGAGGAACAGGGAGACAGCGCACAGCGCGCAGCGCCAGCACAGAGCAGCTGGCAGGGGACAGCATGCAGGGAGCAGGGGGAGGGGCTTCTTTTTGGACAGGGTAGCTCCGTAGTTAGAGCATCGGCCTGTGGACTGAGGGGTCGGTCCCAGGTTCGATTCCTGCTCAGGGCACAGGCCTGGACTGCGGGCTCCATCCCCAGTGGGGGGCGTGCAGGAGGCAGCCGACCCATGATTCTCTCTCATCATCCATGTTTCCGTCTCTCTCCCCCTCTCCCTCCCTCCCTGAAATCAGTAATAGTAAAAAAGGCTCCTCTTGCTTGCTCGCACCCTCCGACCCGCTCACCCGCTGCCCGGCTCCCTCACAAACGCACCTTAATGGCCCCCAGAGCCCCGATGGCGACCTCGGGCGGCAGGATCACGGCTCTGGCGTAGGTGCCGCCGATCTGCAAGCCAAACAGCGAGACAGCGGACACGTTAGCGTGAGGAGAGGCGGCGGGGCTGTGCTGAGCGGGCGGTCGGCGGGGACTCACGGAGCCGATGTTGGAGAGGGTGAAGGTGCCCCCGGTGAGGTCGGCGGTGCTGAGCTGCCCCAGGGAGCCCAGCTTCTGCAGGCGGTTCAACTCGGCCGCGATGTCCACCACCGAGCGCGCCTGGACGCTCTTCACGTTGGGGACGATGAGCCCCTGCTGGGTGTCCATGGCCACCCCGATGTTATGAGACGCCTAAAACAACAACAACAACGATAGGAGAGGACCCCCTCCCCTGCCCTGTAACAGCGGCCAAACATCTCTCACCAGAATGGGGCTTAAAAGAAATGATTTTTAAAGAATTTCAAGACATTTTCTGAAAAAGAGACTTTTTCTGTCGGTGGAATATACATTGTCAGTGGAGACGTAAGCTGACACGGGCTTTCTGGAGAACACTGAACAACAATACGTGCCAACGGCTGTAACAGCCTGTCACCGCGAGAGACAGGAGCTTGGAGAGACAGGGATGTGAGGTCAGACTGTCCAGAAACGTGAGACACTGAGAACGATCCCAATGTTGACAATAGGTCACTGGCTAAATAAATGATGAAATAATTTATTTACTGACAGGTAATGATGTCAATAACAAATTAAAAGCAAAGGTTTTTATAAAAAGTTAAATAGGCAGTAAGCAGTATGTGTAATTCTATATATATGATATAGATGTATATTTAATGTATATATAGATATATTTAAAATATGTAAAAATAAAATTCTGGAAGGATGCACATCTCAACAGACACAGGTGAGTTATCCTGCGATCACGGATCGGGGATAAACATCCTTATTTCCTTCCTCAATCAGGAAATGGCACTGGTCGCTGGGAAGGCTCAAGACACAACCCCTCCGAACAGCCACGCTCACTTCCTGCTTGTACATGTCTGTGAGACATACAGGCAAGAATTAGCATCCCCAAGAGCTGTCTTCACCAACTCCCAGCAGAAGAGTTCACTCAAATGGAATTCAAACTCTCCTTTCTTGTCTCATTTAAATCATGCTTGTTTTAAAAACTGCAGATGTTCTGTCTTGAGAGGTTACTCTGAGAGAAGGGTTGCTGGGATGGGCAGTATGACCCATTGCCTCGTGCTGTGTATTTCCATTATTTGAGCCAAAACCCAAAAAGGCTTAAAAATGCCGAGCTGACCCGTAACATTAACCAGCAAACCCGCCACCACCACCACCAATTAGGCTCGGCTTCCTGCTTCCTTCCTCCCTCCCTGGGATTCTAGTCTAAAAAGGGTCGCGTCTGCGGGACCCCAGACGCCTCACTGACAAGCACACCTGCCCCGCGTTCTGTGCGGCCGAGCAGCCTCACACACACAGCCGACCTTGTAGGTGACCTTCTGGCAGCTCTCGTCCACCGAGGCGTTGAGGATGGGGAACTGCAGCAATCCCAGGGAAGCGGCCTGGCAGCAGAGAGGGGGGTCAGCACTCGGACCTCAGGGAGGGTGTGTGTGTGGGGGGAGCGGGCACCTGCTTATGCCGCGTTCCACTGCAACTCCCCATCAGCTTAATCCGGGCAGGTGACCAGGTGGCTGCCCAGCAAGGGGAACAGGGTCACCTGTTGACTTAAGAATCAAAGGGAAAGCAGCCAAGTAGCTGGTAAACATCAAGATTTTATCCCGCCCCCAAAATGTTTAATTTAAAAAGATTTTTCAAAATAACTACAGGGTGGGACAAAAGTAGGTTTGCAGTGGTTTGTATGGAGATAATACAATAAATAACCAACAATAAACAGTAGACCGTGTTTGGTAAAAGGCGAAAGATTTATGCAATCTGAAGAAAACCAGAGGATTAGTAGACCGTGTTTGGGCACTCACTCTGCAAGCCTGCTTTCGCCCCACCTTACTCATGGGCTGCCCAGGCCCCAAAATGCCTCCATTCTAAGGGGCTGCCTCACCCTGGGAGTCCCGGGGAGCGAACCCGTGGTCCCCAGGCAGGAAGCCGTGTCCGGTGGGAGAAGGCAGAGCCAAGGGTCTCCGGGCCGGCCCTCTGCGGCTCCGTCCCGTCCTGGGCCGGGGAGGGCAGAGCCGGTGGGCGGTACTCGAGGGCGCGTCCCCGGATGGGTCACGTTCACATCTTCCCATCCGTCCCCTTCTCCCGGATTTCTCTCCTTTCCTCTCTCACTACCACCCCTCCCCCCCCTCTACCCCCCCCCCGCCCGGCTCAGGCTTCCCTCACCGCCCACACCGTCTTTCCGGCGGCGTTTCTGCCATGGGGACCTTCCAGGCTCACGTCGCATGTGGCGCCATGCCTTGTGTTAAAGCTTAAAATAGGAAAATGAAGGTGCTCAGGAGTGTCCTCAGAAAGAACCCTTCGCCCTGGCCCTCCCAGGCCCCTGAGACTGTTATATGCATTGTTGTTACTTTGACCAAAAAAAAAAAAATCACGTTCTGAGCTGGAGGGCTGAGGAAAGGATTATGAAGCACTCGCTAACTGCCTCCTTCATCTTTATGTAAGATTTGTCACCAACGGTTAAAGTATCACACATAAGTACAGTGTTTTGAGTATGATCCAAATTTTGTAAAACAAACACACAAAAAACAAGGTGTGTGTATCCACGGGGAGAGGTCATTTTTGCCCCTGTAAATACTTTGTAAGGTTTCCCAATGTTCTAAAACGTATATAGGCAGGAAAAAATGTTACTCTAAAACAGCCGAAACCGGTTTGGCTCAGTGGGAGAGCGTCGGTCTGCAGACTGAAAGGTCCCAGGTTCAATTCCGGTCAAGGGCATGTACCTTGGTTATAGGCACATCCCTAGTAGGGGTTGTGCGGGAGGCAGCTGATTGATGTTTCTCTCTCATCGATGTTTCTAACTTTCTATCCCTCTCCCTTCCTCTCTGTTAAAAAAAATCAATAAAATATATTTTTTTAAAAAGTTACTTTAAAACAGATAAAGCCTGCTGAGACTTAGGCCCAAAATGAAGGGCAGGTTTTCATTCAGACTGGACACTGAGGAACAGAACAAGGCTTCACACAGCGACAGGCCAGCCTCTCCGGCTCCAGAGGCCGCCCTTCCAGGTGACACGGTGAGAAATGTCGTTAACACGCGGACTGTCTGGAAAAGAGCCCTGCAATGCCACCCCCGCTGCAGGGAGCGGACTCACCTTTATGAAGAAGGGCATGAAGGAGAGCTTAATCCCCCGAGCAGCAGCAACGGGCTTCAGTTCCTCTCGCAGCCTCACCAGCGCGGTGAGGTCAACCTCGTCGCAGTACCCGAAGTGCGGGATCTTCAGGGCCGCCGTCATGGTCTTGACCATGGCCTTCTGAAAGCCTGGAAGACAGTGCGTGTTCAATTCTCAGATCCTTCAACCCGTCTCCCTTGAACCTAAAATAGAAGGTGCACGTTGTTTCCTCTCAGCTACACGCCTCCCCACGCCACCGCGGAACTCGAAAGCCACGAGTGTCAGTGCTGGAGCCCCCAGGGCCAAGCTCAATGGCACAACAGGTGGGCGCGCTCCAGGCCGCGTGCCGACAGCTCTGCAGGCTGCCGGCCAGGACCCACCAGGGCGTTCCTGCTCTATCCCTCCTCAGGAAGTCATCCTCCCCCGCGTTCATAAACAAGTCAGACACAGCTGCTTTGAGAGCTAACAAAAAACAACGAATATTTAAGATACTCGGAGGCTTCAAACGGAACAGTTACTCACGGACACATTCCTATTCCAAGAAACTGGCTGACACAGAAATTAACAGTGTAAATTGGGAAAACAGTTATTTCATCATTAAAAAAGAAATCATATGCTGAACTTGAGCTTTCCCTTCAGTAAGAATTACAAACACCATGTTATTTAAAGAAAGAAAGAAAATTAAAAACAAATCAAACGCCTGTTAGATGCAGGGACCTACGGAGACAGCTTCGTCTCGTTACTGTCACCTGTTATGGGCTCCGTCCGGTCCTGGCCTGGGACCACCACAGGCTTTGCTACTGGGGCGGGGAGAGGCGTGTCTTTTGGTTTCGGTGGAGGCGGCATGATTTCGGCTTTGGGGGAAGGAGGTAATATCGCTCCCGTCTGCTTCTCCAGAAAGCTGAGAATGTCTTCTTTGAGTATTCTGCCATCTTTTCCTGAGCCAACAACTTCACTCAGCTTAATCTAAAAGAGGATACACGTACTGTGAAGAATAAAACTCCCGAAAATAAACAAATCCATCAATAAGGTCCCTAAGTGGAATTTAATGCATTGTAGGTAAAAAAAAAAAAAAAAAAAAAAAAAAAGATACCCTGCCCAAAAAGTTGGCATAAGGTGCCGCCTCCATGATCTTAGCAGAGCGGCAAGACGCTCCCTCCTCCGTCCCCCGATACTGAGCACACTGAGCATCTGCCACGTGGTCACTGCGGCATCTACGCTGAGGAAATCCACTCCTACTGAGGAAAACTTACATTGTTAACCATCAGCTCTTCTCAAATTTCTTGCATGATTCTTAATTGTTTTTTTCCATTTTTAGAAGCCACAGAGAAGAACGGAGGTCACCTGATGCTCTTAATGACGCAGTGTTCCATATGATTACGTCTATGTTCTGTTATGCTAAATGGTCTTCACCTTTGGACACGTTTAATGGCAAATACACTGCCACGAAGGCTCTAGTCTAGACCATGACTTAGGTAGGTATTTCCCTGATTTGAACACGTGCTTTCTAATGTTTGGCTATAAAGTCCGGGAAGGAACCGCCCTGGGCTGGCTTCTGGAACAACGGTCGGATACCTGCTGATGGGACCTGAACCCTCAATGACTCTTCTCCTTCCGGAGTGTACACATTTGTCCTCCCCTGGAACCGAGCCGCTCCTCTCAAAGACAAACAGACAAAGCACTGCCCGTGGGCGCACTGGGAAGGCTCAGGCCCTGGAAGGAGGCAGAGCTGGGTCCCGATCCCCAGTCCAGCCCCCTCCTCGATCGCAGGCAACTTCATCAACCTGCCCTCCCACGTCTGCAAAATGGGGGAGTCCGCACCCTCTCCGGGCTCCTGTGGGGGTCAGTGGGCAGCGTCTGGCTCAGGTCTCCCATGACGAAGGCAGTCAGGGGAGCCCTGGAGACAGACTTCAAAATCCTGGCTCCTCCATAGCTCTGTGACCTTGGGCCAGTGTCCGGACCTCCTCCAATCTTATCTCAGAGCGGTGAAGATTACGTGGAGCACGGTACATTCTCACTGCCGCCTTCCCGGGAGGTTAGGCTCCAGGGACCGGTGACAGAGGAATACCACGCCAGCTCGACTCAGTTCTGGGGTTCTCCCCCCTCCCGGGATCAGGGCACACCCTGGAGACCACATCCTTGCCTGGCCCACTGCCCGCCTCTTCCCTCCCCTCTGCTCATGCCCAATAAAGGTGCTCACTCTTTCAATCAATCAATCATCACATGTCCCCAATCCTCGTCTCAATCTGCGCTCTTAGGGCACCTGACCTAAGACGCGAGCATTTCCAAGAGCTGCCTCAATGGCGGCCCTGGCGTTCCAGCTCTGAGACAGCGTAATGCCGTAAAAGCACGCCCCTCCGTCCCGGAAGTGACGGGGTCAGTGGCTCTCATTTCTCACGAGAGCCTTTCTGCAGCTGCCACCTTTCGGAAACGGACATTCTCGTGTTTCCTCCCACCCCCGTGAGCCGCCCACCGGACGCGGGCCAGCCCTGGGGCCAGCGCTGCGTCACGGTCACGCCGAGACGTACGTTGTTCTCCATGGCCAGGCGGCGCACGGCCGGCGTGGCCAGCGTCTTCTGGCCTTTGATCTCCTGGTGCGTGTGCTCGTCATGGGACACGGCGGGCGCCTCCACCACGTCCTCCTCGGAATCTGGTGACAAGGCAAATGTTTACCTTCAGGTGAGAAGATGTAAACAAACTCCACAATCGGAAGGCAAACTAGTTGGGCTACTTCAGAGAGGAGAAACGAGCAGTAGAGTGTGTGTGTGTGTGGGGGGGTGGGGGGGGGTACTGGTATCTGGGGGTACTTGGTCTCCTCTCCCAGCCTTCACCACGACTGCCGTCTGGTTCCGTGTCCGTGGCACACCGAGCCATCCATGTGCTCACCACACCTGTCAGCAGTGACCAGTGTCCTGAATCTCCATCGCTGCTTCTGTCACCACTGTGGCTTCCAGAAGCCTGGCCACCAGGGCACTGTCACTGTCCACACAGTTACGATGGCGACCGGTCAAAAGATAATCACAGGTCACCCAGGACCCTTTCTGTTTCCCTGACTGCCTGTGAGTTACCAAAAATGAACATCCCTTTTGATTGGCACCCAAGGGCACAAGGACAGTGGCGATCAATTGGCAAACGGGGATATGCACTTCAGTACCTTTTAAAGCTTCCGTTTCTATGTCGACGAGGGGCTTCCCCACATAGGCCGTGTCCTCGAGGTTGTAGTACAGCTTCCTAATGACCCCGTCGTAACGGCTGGTGATGGTGACAGACGCCTTGTCGCTCTGGACCTCACAGATGCTGTCGAACTGAGACACGGTGTCTCCCTCCTTCACGAACCTGCAGGAGACAGGTGTCAGACCCGCCCGCAACCCAGGACTGATTAGCCGGCCCCTCCACGCTTGGCCCTATCCACCCCGGCTGGCAGCTAGTCCCAGGGGGGCACCAAAGAATGTTCCAGAAAAGACCATCATGGGTTCCAGAACCTCTTTGGCGTGATCTCTAATACCAACTTTTTAAAAACCATTCATAGATCTGTGATGTGAAAATTTAATTAAACTTTCAGGTTTTCTGCTCCACCCACTCCTTGGGAAAAGTTCTAAAAAAGTATTTTAAATGTGTGTGTTTTTCCTTCTCATTGTTTTAAACTTCAAGGGGTGCCTCTTATTTCTAGAATTAGATAGAAAAATTGATGTCCCCAGCACATATCCTGTGTAATTTCATGAATTCTGGCTTGAGTTCTCTTCTAATTACTTCGCCTGTCCTCGTATATCGGTCCCTTTATCCCAAAACCATTGTAAGTGCACTTTACCAAACGGAACAGGAAGAAGACCAACCTCAAATGCTACATGTGATTCTGAGTCTAATATCACTCTTTTTAAAATTTTATTATTTTTTCTTTATTGATTAAGGTATTAATATGTGTCCTCATTCCCCTATAGTCCCCCTACACCCCTGCTTATGCCCACCCCCCACCCCCGTGTCTGCGCCCACTGGTTAGGCTGATATCTAACACCACTCTTGATGTATCTAGCACATTCCTGACGCTTTATATTAGTTCTTCACTAAAACACTACTGTTCAGTCATTCTTATGCCTTGCCTTTGTTCTAACCAGTTCTCAGTCCACATAACACACCACCCGTGACGGGGACATGAGGTGTGAGAGTGCCTCTGGGGTTCCGCTCCTCCGAGAAGCAGCAATGCGGACACGCGTCACCCCTCAGCAGTGACTGTCTCTTCTTTTAGCTGGAATGGGGGTGGGGGAGGCTGCGAACGTCTTTAAAAAGAGGAGGAAAGGATGCCGAGATGTCGCCCAGAGAAGATGCAGCGGTGCGAACTAGCTCGGCAGCATGCTGACGGCACCAGCTAGCCTGGCCCGCTGCTTTGAAAAAGCCCGGATGTGAGACAAGGTTCTCCCTTTAAACGGAGACTGCTTATTGTCACCCGATCATCCTCAGACGGACGTGCGAGTTTCTCAGGGACTTACCATTCTTTGACAGTTACTTCTCTAATGCCTTCTCCGATGTCTGAGAGTTTGAACTGAACAATCTGTCCCTGTTGACCTTCAAAGGGAAATGAGACATAATCTCCTTAAATATGTCACGTGTTGTTAAGAGATGCTTTTACACCTAAAACCAGAAAATATTCTCCAGCAGAGGCAGAAATTATTTCATTTTACGGATAAAAATTCCACAATTTTAACAGTGTAACCATCACTCATAGCCATCAAAGATTTAAATGAGTTAATCGAGGGCACCGACCCATGGGCACTGCCACGGAACTCCCGTGTCCCCGCGTCCAAACCAAAGTTCTGTGACGGGCTGGAGGGCTTCGCCAATGGCATGTTGGCACAACTGTAGTGAACAGACTGTAACACACACGTGTACTGAGACCCCCGCTTCAGCTTATGGAACTGTAATAACCGCCCACAGCCTGCTCTACCTCTCCTTGGCCTGGTAGTCGGCTTCACACTCTCACTCTTAGGGGCTAAGGTCAGGCAGACCCTGCACAGAAAACTCCATGGACATTCTATTTGCCCAAACTGGGTTCTGCAAACTTATCATTAAATCTGAGTCTTTTCCTTCCACGTTCCACTTTCTACCCCTCTTCAAAGATCTTTTCCCTCTTTATAACACTGGATGCCAAGCTTTATTGTAATTATTCCCAAGAAAGTCAGTATTTTTGGTTAGCAAATGGCTCCGAACTGATTTAAGAACACGCCTCTATTTTTAGACTGCTAATAGCTACAATTGCGTATAATATACACAAGCAAGCTGATTAGGAGCACATTTTTAGGAGGTAAGTTAGGAGGGAAGAAACGTGTCTTTGCTCAGGAGCCTCGTTTCCACTCCAGGAAGCAGGCCCTCGCACAGCCGGCTGCCCATGGAAACTGGAACCTTCCAGGAAAAGTTTGGTTCTAAGTATCAAAAGCCGTAAAAGGCCGGGACCTGTTTGGCTCAGTGGATAGATCATCGGCCTGCGGACTGAAAGGTCCCAGGTTCGATTCTGGGCAAGAGCATGTACCTTGGTTTCGGCACATCCCCAGTAGGGGGTGTGCAAGAGGCAGCTGATCGATGATTCTCTCTCATCTATGTTTCTAACTCTATATCCCTCTCTTCCTCTCTGTAAAAAATCAATAAAATATATTAAAAAAAAAAAAAAAAAAAAAAAAGCCGTAAAAGAATGCCCCCGGCTTTGAGCCAGAAACTAGTTTGAAGCCTTTTTTGCCCGAGGACAGAGAGGCACACACAGGCTGATGCTCAAGAACAGTTACCATGGAGACCGGGACCCAACCTGAGTGATGAAAACGAGACAGAAATGCACGATGACACCTCTGTGCAAAGCCATGTTATGCACGGAACATAAGGAGCGGCGCATGTGCAAGAGCATGGAACAGGCTCCTTACCAGGTTTCTAAAGAGACCGCCAGGAAGGAGAGGTTAGTGTCCTTGCAAATCTAACACTTAACGCCTCGAGTTCTTCAGAGAGGGCAGAAGACGGGGTGTGGGGTGTGTGTGTGTGTGTGTAAAACTGAGTGGTAAGAGCAGGGAACCTTGTGTTTAGGGGCACCTCTGGCTGGTTTCATCCCACCATCCACCAGGACAGATGAAGTCCTCCAAACACCAGCCCGGCAGGGAGGACACGGGCACACACTATCCTATCGAGCGATCAGGTCACATTTACCTGGACCGGGAGTCTGTCCACACTGACTGGACCGAGCGTCTGCCCACGCTGACCACTGCACGCAGAGGGGCCAGGTGATAAAGAAGAGATGGCCAGGACAGCCCATTCCTGACGCCGTGAAGACGCGCGTATCAAGGGAGAGTGTGTGAAAGGGGGGTGGGGGAGAGGTAGGGTGCAAAGATGATTTAAAAAAAAGAAAAGGATAAATGTGGGGAGAGCAAGGAGGGCCAGGCTAGGAATAAAAGGCCCACCTTAAAAAAACACCACTTGGGTTCGTCTGCAATGACCTAACGTGCTGAGTGAGACATCCTCTCGGCGGCGATGACGTCGCACTCACCTGCAGTGGTTCTCAGCGGCCGGTGCGGGTGGCTGGACTTGAAGGAGGGGGAGCCCAAGAAACACACATATTTGGGTTTCAGCGCGTGCACCACACTCCGTGTCTGACAGTGGCGCACACAGACCTAGCGGTGAGAAGACCAAAGGAAAAGGCTTACCTCTCCGAGCATAAACACAATGTCACGTCCGTTCTAACAGTGGGACGATCGTTACCGCTGCATAAACGGCGTGAAATTATCTGGGCCCAAATCAGAACGCCTGCGTCAAGCGGCAGGAAGAAGACGGGAGCCGGCGCCCCGGAAGCCGAGGCGGGCACGCTCTCAGGGGAGCGAGGCCGGGACCTCGCCAGGTGCTACGGGGACGGCTGGCTTCTTCTCCCCATTGCCTCCTGCTTCTCTTCCCCAAATCTCAGTCAGGCAACGCTCTCCGGGAACTCCAGTCCGGACGCCGGGACCTTCCCTAGGTGTGTTCCTGTGGCTGTAGGCCTTGTCTTATGCTGTGCGGTGCGGCTGGTCCAAGGCCCAGCTCTGTCTCTGTCTCTGTCCGTCCTCCCCACAGGCTGTCATTAACCTCTGTGCGGGCAGGGATGGTGTCGGTCTTATTTATATTTGCATCCTGGGTGCCTAGCACAAGACCTCCCCCCGAAAGGCTTTGTAGGGTTAGGGGTCGGCAGCTGCCGGAAGCGCTGGGGCAGAGGGGACGGGGGCAGGAGCGCTGTACTAATCAGAGGAAACACTATGACGACCGGACATTCACTGCCCAGTGCTAACCGCCGTGGGGAAGTGGGGGGCGGCGGGGCGGTGGTGTGGGGCGGAGCTGCATGGAAACAGGCTGGGGAGACACTGGTGCAGAGCCGGGAGGCAAGGGCACGCCCCAGGGCTGAGGCTGGAGCAGGTGTGTCCGGGCTTGGCCCCGGGGAAAGACCCGGGCGGCTATGCTTTGCTCCAAGGGCCTCTTCCTAGACCCTAAGTCCCTGGGGAGCGGGGTCGCGCCTGGCACCCAGTGGGTGCCCCTCAGTGCCCAACGGCTGCATCCCCAGTGCCTGTCACCCCGCCCCGCACCCAGATGCTGCTGCTCAGAGACAGGCCAGCCGGGCTTCGGGGTGCGGAGGGCGCGGAGGGCCGCCGGGCCCCGCCGGGCCCCGCCGGGTGCGGGGAGGGAGCGGGTCTCCACGCCCTCGGCCCCCACCTCCGGTGCCCTTCGCTCTGCGGGCGGCCCCCCGCCTCTCCATCACTGTGCCCGGGGCGCGTGGCCCTCGGAGGACACCCGCACACACCGCCCCGCCAAGGCCGCGGACCCCGCACTCCTTCCCGCCCCGCTCACCAGCCGCCCGGCTCGTTGGCTCCAGGTCCGCAGCACGCGCACTGCGGCCATCTTACTCCGGAAATACAGCGGCCCCGCGGCTGGGGGCGTGGCCTCTGCCAGGGCCACCTATCAGGACCCGGGAAACGCAACTCCCCCTGAGCGACCAATGAGGGCGGAGGAGCGGCCCACCGGACAGCCAATCAGACAGAGGGGCGGGGCCGGAGCGACGCCCACGGCGCGGCGGGGCGGGAGGGGATGCCAGGAGGCAAACAGCTGGGAGATGGGGATCCGGTGGGAGGAGGGCCGCCCAGGTTTCCTTTCGGGGGACAGGGTCGGACGGGTGCACCCCGGGTCATCTCTGTAGTCCATGCAGGGGGCAGGGGGAGGGCGGTGCCAAAGGAATGTGACTGGAGAAAGGGATGCGACTCAGACCTGAGGATGTGCAGGGAAATACCCCCCCGCCCCCACTCCACCCCACCCCCTGCCTTCAGCCCATTGCAACCGCCCGGGTTGCTTGGTGCCAGGCTCCGACCCACTGGCGGAGTCACGAGCCTGTACTGAACTACATCCCGACGACTGGAGCTCACTCCCAGCGAGCATGCCTGACCATCTGAACTGGCTGTTCCATATGCTTTCAGAGAAGGTGAACCAGGTTACCCTGATGTCTAAAATAAGCACGTAATCAACACGTTCTTTCCTTCTCTGCACGGGACGTTTATGTCGCAGACGTGCGAACCTGCTGCATTTGCCTCTTGGAGAGATGCCGAATTTAGAACCAGGAAAGAAAGATCGGGGCTTGCACAGACAAGTTTCCGGGATGACATTGGTCTGTTTTTACCTCTAACCCGGAACGAAAATCTGCAGAAATACGGATCCGAGACCGGTATGGCTCAGCGGTAGAGCGTCGGTCTGCGGACTGAAAGGTCCCAGGTTCGATTCACATCAAGTGCATGTACACTGGTTGCGGGCACATCCCCAGTGGGGGGTGTGCGAGAGGCAGCTGGTTGATGTTTCTCTCTCATTGACGTTTCTAGCTCTCTATCTCTCTCCCTTCTTCTCTGTAAAAAATCAATAAAATATATTTTAAAAATATAAATAAATAAATAAATAAGAGGCCCCGATCTTTAAAAAAAAGAAAGAAAAAGAAATACAAAGAGAACACTGTAAGTCTTCAATTTTGAAGATTAGTGGCTGTGAAACAAAATCTCAGGTATTACACAAATTAAATGTCTAATATTATCTAATCTCACCCTTTTTTTGCTTACTTGCCTTTCAGTGTATTTCCTTTCTCTCTCTCTCTCTTTCTCTCTCTCTCTCTCTCTCTCTCTCTCTCTCTCACACACACACACACACACACACACACATGCATGCACACACAGACTACTGTGAGCAACAAATCAGTCATTACCTATAAAAGAAAAATCTTAACAAAACGCTTTATAAGCAGTTAATATATTTGATAATACTACATGCAAGTGTTTACATAAAACACTTTGAAGTGAATTATTTCCCCCCCTTGGGTCCCTATACCACCTTCTCCTCTAATGTCCCTTTATCCCTGCCTTCTCCCAAGAAAATATCTAGTTTATTTCCTTTCTTTTATCCTCTCTTACCTCAATGGATTACTGCTTCCAAATTCAGTATTATGTTTTCTCACCTTTCTTTCCAAAAGCAGGAGACATGCCACCTACTCACTAGTCAATCCTTTCCCTTTCCCTCAAAAGAGACAAAAAACTGATTTCTCTTATTTTTTTAAACTAATAAACATGATTACGTCCCAGCAATTCCTCTCCTAGGTGTCTATCCAAGAGAAAGGAAAACATATGTCTACACAAAGGCTAGTACAACCATGATTGCAACACCCCAACTTTCCTTCAACAAGTGAATGGATAAACAAAATGTGGCACATCCATATCACGGGATAGTAGTCATCCTTAACAATGACAAAAATACAGACTCATGCTTTACCTACATGAAAATCACATTTAAAAATATATATATGTATAATTTTAGGCAGAGGGAGAGAGAAATGTGGATAGATGTGAGGAACATCGATTGGCTGCCCGCTGGGCGCCCCCTGCTGGGGATTTAGCGCTGCAGCCTGGGCCTGCGCCCTGCCGGGGAAGGAACCGGCACCAGCCACCTGGGAGCCTGGGAATGGTCCTCCTCTGGGGCCTGTGCCAGAGTCCCTCTAGGGCAGTGTCTCAGCTGCACTGGACATTCATACCAACGGGGGTCGGACTAGCATCCTGGTTCCAATGCTACCGCCCAAGGCAGGCCCCGGGAGTCTGCGTCTGGGTGACACAGGCGCTATGGGTTAGCCCAGATGTCGGCAACCTGCGGCTCCAGAGCTGCATGCGGCTCTTTGAAGCTTTATCACGGCTCCGACAACTGGCAAGCCCGTGTGAAAATGAAGGTAACGGCTTAGGGCCCTGATATGCTGACACTGTGCACTGAGGTTCAGGAGCAAAAATCCCATTAACCAGGTAAATTAAATATTTTAATGAGCTATTAATTTGCAAAAAATATATTTTACATTGTTAAGTGAAAAAGTCCTTTTTTTCCTTCAGATTGACAGCTAACTGCACAATCCAGTATATAGCATTAAGGTAAGAAACAATATATGCAGGGTTATATTTGTTTTAAATGTCGCAATGGTTTTGGGGCTCCCAGGTTTTTTTTCCTTCGGAAATGGGTCCAAGTGGCTCTTTATGTCTTAAAGGTTGCAGACCCCTGGGTTAGCCGATGCCATGTGACTGATAAGCTAAGAATGCATACCTGCAAGTGGGCTTGTTCAGACAATGGGGGTCCCTCATGGTCCTGGCTGGGGATTCCAGTCATGATCCCCAAGGACCACCAGGGAGCCGAGTCCGATGCAATAAACAAAAGAGCCATCTCCATGCTAGCATGGGCTATCCCACTCATGCCGGCAGCATGGCGGAAGAGAGAGAATTTCGCCCAGTCCAGGGGTTTTACTCAGGTCGGTGATATCACTGCCTCGGCTAACCCTGATTGGCCCCTCAGGACTAAATTCTAAAGACTGGGGACGGCCTGCAGGGTTGGTTCCCAGTCACACCCTGCTTGACATTGGGATGTGGCCCTATTTTGCCCATAATACAAAAGCAGAACTAAAGGTTATCTACAGTTTCTACCCCTGAAGCTACTGAGTCAGTGGGAGTCAATCGCCTGTAACTACCCTTTTGTTTAAGCAAGCAATCGAAGGTAGAAGTCAGATAGCAAGGTTAAAATTCAAACGGCAGTTTTTACCCAAGTATGAGTGCTACCATATTTCAGGTTCTATTACATATATCTTTTAAAAAATATATCTTTTTATTGATTTCAGAGAGGGAGAGGAGAAACACCAAGATAAAAGAGAATCATGGATCAGCTGCCTCCTGCATACCTCACACTGGGGATCAGGCCCACAACCTGGGCAGGTGCCCTTGACTAGAGTCGAACCCAGGACCCTTCAGTCCGTAGGCTGACGCTCAACCACTTAGCCATTTAACCACGATCGTGAAGAACTGCCGGGTTATTTTCCAAAGTGGCCGCAGCAGTGTGCGAGAGGAAAAGAAATGATAATAATACTCGATACCCAGGGACACGTATTTCAAGGGACAGGTTGCGGACGAGGCCCCAAAACCCGGGGGAGGAGGTGGGTGCGTGCAGGGCCCCGGGCCCGGAGGAGGAGATCGGGGCGTGCAGGGCCCCGGGACCGGGGAGAGGGAGGAGGACGGTGCGTGCAGGGCCCGGGACCGGAGGAGGAGGACGGTGCGTGCAGGGCCCGGGACCGGAAGGAGGAGGTCGGGGCGCGCAGGGTCCGGGGTCTCGCGTCCTCAGCCCTAAGAGGCTCCAGCTGCGGGCGCGGCGGGCAGCCCGGCTGGCCGCACAGGCCCGCGGCAGCTGGAGCGGCCGCCCCGGGGAGGAGGTTAGCATCCGCGGCGTCGCTGTCGGCGTCCCGGCAACGTCCCGGGGACGCACTTCCGGCGGCGCTGGGGCCCCGATTGGCTGGATCCGGCCGCGCAGGCGCACTGGCTTCGGGGCGGGGCTGAGCGGGTGGAGCCGGCGGACTTGGTCCCGGAGCTTCCGGTCCCGCCTCTCCGCCGGCCGCGGCCCCGGAGGACCAGCTTCGGAGCTGCGGGGCGGGGGCCGGCGTGTCCTCCTCGCCGCGCGCGGGTGGAGGCCGGGCCCGCAGGCGCCCTCCATGGCGGGGCCGCGGGCGGAGGTGGACGGCGGGCTCCTGGAGGGGGTGAGCGCGGGGCTCCTGGGAGGGGTGCGAGGGGTGGGATGTGGGGTGTCGGGGGAGCTTTGGGGTCTGACCATCTCTCTCGCAGGGCGGCCAGATCCTGAGGGTGTCCACGGCCCTGAGCTGCCTCCTGGGGCTCCCGCTGCGGGTGCAGAAGATCCGGGCCGGCCGCAGCACGCCCGGCCTGCGGTAACCGGGCCTGGGGGTGGGGCTGGGGGATGGCAGGGCCAAGGGGGTGCCGGCTGGGAGACTGGGGTGGGGGTGGGGGCGGGGCGGGCACAGGCCCTGAGGGCGCGCTGCGGAGCCTGGGCCTTGGGGGTGGCGTGGGGCTGGGGACGCAGGAGCCCGGCAGTGATGCTGAGCAGATCCGGGCAGCAGCACACACCCCGCACCCCCACCCCCCAGGGCGGGCTTCAGCCTGGGCCGTTAGCCGTGGCCTGGGTGGTTCCGTCTTGAAACCCTCCAGGGGCAAACTTAGAAAACAGGACCCAACCCCCCTCCCCTCTGACAGCTGTCATTGGGGGCGGGGCGGGGGGAGGAGGGGAGGACGGGAAGATTCGCTTGGGGTGATGGGCACCATGCCGGGTACAGATGGTGTTTTGTTGACTTGTGCCCTTGAAACCTGCATGACTTAACGAACCTACGTCACCCCGTTACATTCGTTTAAAAACCAATCAAAAAGAGAGGAAGGACACAGGGCCTGTTCCCTCTGGCTAGAGCTCTCTCTTTCCTAAGCCTCTTTACCAAAGCGTCATCTTTCAGAATGCTTCCCCTCCACTGGGGCAGCGGGAGCCAGAGGGACCCCCTTTACCCAGCACATGGTCAGATCAGAACCGGGAGGGGCCCCGAGCCGGTCCGGCCCGGCCCGCTTTCACTGAGGCCGCTGGGAAGCTGTGAACAGGACCGGGAGGAAGGCTGCGGGCGGGGAGGGGGAACACGCTGACCTCCTCCCTCCTGTCTGGAAGCCAGGCGCGCCCTCTGGAAGGTTCCGGGGATGCACCTGTGAGAGAGGGCCCAGGAGGAGGCCGGACCGATGCCTCTGTGAGCACTCTGTCTGTGGTCCATGGCGGGGGGGGGGCGGGGGGGTCAGCGCTCTCTCAGCCTCTTCCTTTACCCACAAGCCATTTGGAAATGATTACGAGGCAGCGAGGGAGATGGTGAAGACTCATTCCCTTTGCCAGGGTTTGCAGCCACCCCTTTGCCCTCGGGGACAGCCAGTTCCTAAGGTTGCATTGGGTACATTATTGCTTTGCTGGGGTGGCCGAAACAACATCCCACAGTTTATGTTCCCACAGTTCTGGAGGTGGAAGTTCAAGATCAAGGTGCCGGCAGGGTTGGTTTGCTGGAGGCCCACAGGGAAGGGCTCTGTCCCAGGCCTCTCTCCCTGGCTTGGAGATGACCACCCTCTTGAATCAGGGCCTTCCTTCACACCGCGCCGCCCCCTGGTGGTCAGCACACGTCATAGCGTGTGATCGAACTCCTGGACCTCACGGTCGAACTCCCGAGCAGACACTTTGCATACTAGCCTTTTATACATATAGATGGCCTGGCAGGATCCTTAAAATGATGCCTGCTAGCGAAGTCCATTGCTAGAGCCCCTGAGGACGCGCTGACCGCGGGAGGTGTCACAGCAGTGTCTGCGGGCAGGCCCGGCTGTTTTCCTGCCCTGCGGTTTTGGCACCAAGCTGGACACGCAGGGCAGCCCGAATGCTCGCGCTCTGATGCAGTATTTCGACCTGAAGGCCTCAGCACTTATCCGGACTGGAGATGATTCGGGACCTGTGCGCCGGGCAGCTGGAGGGGGCCGACATCGGCTCCACGGAGATCACGTTCACTCCCGGGAAGATCCAAGGGGGGAGCCACACGGCGGACACCAAGACGGCCGGGTGCGTGGCTCTCCCTCCCCCCGCGGCCAGGCTCTGGCGTTAGATCCGGGTTCCCACGCAGGTCCCACCCGCACCAGGCACCTGGCCGAGCCCTCCGAGTTTCCCTTCCTCACTTTCCTGTAAACCTCTTTACTGGTTAAGGTGTCACGTACGTATCCTGTTCCCCCACTCATGCCCTCGTTGTTACCTTCGAGGGGTTGAGACTCTGAGGTGTGGAATTGTTCCTTCGTCGCAGCGGTGGCTGCAGCTGGGATTTCCTCCCGTGTACAGTGTAGCACCCTTGTTTCCCTGCTTCTCATCAGTGGAAACCGCACGTGTGAACACCACGGTGCTCCTCTGCCTGGCGTGTCCGTCGTGCTTGCCTCACGCCGATGACAAGCCCCGTTCCGCTGCCTTTAGTCTGGGCACGAACTCGGTTTTCCTTCTCTCTCATCCCACCTACACTGTGTCTTTAAGACGGAGGGTTTCGTCATTCAGTCACCGGAATGGTTTTTACCTTCAGCCTCGAGGGCGTGCACCTGCCGGCCCAGCGCCGGCGATGGGTCAGGGTCCGGGTCACCTGCTGCCAGCTAAGCCCGCTCTGCCTTCCCCTCAGGAGCGTGTGCCTCTTGCTGCAGGTGTCTCTGCCCTGCGTCCTGTTCGCCGCCGCGCCCTCCGACCTGCGCCTGCGGGGCGGCACCAACGCCGAGATGGCCCCGCAGATCGACTACACGGCCATGGTGAGGGCCCCCGGGGCGGGCACCCCGCATGCCCGTCCCTCCCAGTGCCCGGAGCGGTTTGTGTGCATTCCCGCGTGTTTCTTCACGGCGGGCTTAAGCTCGCCTTACAGTTAGTGCTGTGGCCTAGGTGTGTTCCCGGTGAACCCCCTAAAAACCTCAAGTGTCACGATGATACGAATTCTCTTACTTATTATGCATTCAGCCCGGGTCTTAGGATTTGGAAGGGGAAAACTCAAAGCCATAGTGAAATGCCACGCTTGAACAGTGCTGCGAGGAGGTGGAGAGAGCCGAACCCCGTGCCCTGTCGGTGGGAACCCAATGTGGTACAGCCACCGTGGGAAGCAACATGGAGTTCCCACAAAGAATTAAAAATAAAATGACGGCCTGACCCAGTCATCCCACTTCTGGGATCTGTCCAAGGGGATTGATAAATGAAGATCTCCGAGAGAGGTTGTGTTCATATAGTACTATTTATAATAGCCAGAACGTGGAAGCAACCTCAATGTGGGTTACGTTAAAAAAAAGTGAGAAGGTGGAGGACGATCCTGTTCAGCAGAAACCCCCCGGTTCCTCCCGGTGCGTGCGAGGGAGCGGGCAGGAGGCGGCGGCCTCGGGCAAAGCGGGCGTCGGGGTCAAGGACCGTTTTTATTTTCATGACACAGACCGCGCAGCCCTGGCGCATTGGATGTTCACTTTGACTCTCAGCTCCATGCCCCTTTTCATTGGAAAACGAGCCAGCCTTCACAGCGGGTGCCACTGACCCTCGTTCCTGGCTCGTCTCCGTGCGGAGCACTCGTCGTGTCTGACAAATGCACTCGTGGAATCGGTGACTGTTGGTTGTTAAGGCAACAATGCTCTCATGTTCCAGGTTTTCAAGCCAATTGCTGAGAAGTTTGGTTTCACGTTCAGCTGTGACATTAAGATGAGGTAAGCGGCTTGCTTCGTGGCGGCCTGACCCCCCGCACGGCAATAGCGTTGGCGGGTTAGACGGAGAGGGCGGCGGCGGCGCCCCCCGGCTGGTTTCCCGCAGGAGGCGGCTGGGCGCTGTGTGCAGCAGCAGGGGCCTGGGCCCGGGATCCGCTCGTGTGCGGGCGGGCGGGGTTCAGCGGGATTCCGCTCTGAGGCAGCACAGACCTCATGGCGACGCGGCCGTCTAAGCGGCAGGCCCGGGGCCGGGGGGGGGGGGGGGGGGGGGGGTGGTGGTGGTGAAGGGGGGTGGGTGGGGGGGCTGTCGTTCCCACGTGGTGGCGGGGAAACGTGGAGCTTTCTGTGCGGCGCAGTCAGGGGGTGGGTGCGTGCCGCGCTGTTTTGACGGGCGGTCTAAGCGGCAGGCCCGGGGGTGGGGGGGGGGGGGGGGGGGGGGCTGTCGTTCCCAGGCGGTGGCGGGGAAACGTGGAGCTTTCTGGGCGGCGCAGTCGGGTGGTGAGTGCGTGCCGCGCTGTTTTCCAGGGGCTACTACCCAAAAGGGGGCGGCGAGGTGGTTGTCCGGGTGCCTCCCGTCAAACAGCTGACCCCCGTCACCCTCACCGAGCGCGGCGCCGTGACCAAGATCTCCGGGAGGGCCTTCGTGGCCGGCGCTCTGCCGTTCAAGGTGAGTCGTCCGTCTTTAAAAGGTGTTGTTGTTCTTTACTCTTTTCAGAAAGGAACGGAGAGGGCGAGAGAGAGAGAAGCATCAACGATGAGAGAGAGCCATTGATCTAAAGCAAGTCGCCCAGGTGTTCTTGGCAGTGTGTGATGTCCTGATAAGTATTCTAGCAACTAAACTTGGAAATTATTAGAATTAATTTTAAAAAATGTTTTGCCTTAAAAAGTTTTTTCCTTACAATTCCGTGCCCTCTACTCAGGCAAGTCAGGCCTTTCTGTAACGCACGTGAAGGTTGCTTGTCTCGAGGGTGTGAAGACAGTTGTCCCAGTCTGCATGAACGTGGTTCGCTCTGCGCCTCTGTTTCGCCCAATCAGGTGGCGAAGGAGATGGCGGCGGCGGCCGTGCGCTGCCTGCGGAAGGAGTTCCGGGACCTGTACCTGAACGTCCAGCCGGTCCAGGAGCCCCGGGACCGCGCCTTCGGCAACGGCAGCGGCATCATGTGCGGCTCCGGGCCCCCCCCCCCCCCCCCCCCCCCCGCCCCGCCCTGGGCTGATGGTCTCGCTGACACGGGAGATGGGAGGGCGGTTCGTGTGTAGCTTCTGTTGAGGTTTATAGTTTTAGGAAGATCGGTTTTAAAGGGCATTGACACCTGAAACAGCTGTGCAGTGAATGAAGACGGTCATTTTATTCCGGATTTTTTTCTGAGGATGGTTTGCCTTTATCGCATTGTCTGCATGCTGAACTTCACTGCTGACACTCATCAGAAGTTGGCCTTTGAGGCTGATTTGAGAGAAATACTTCCGGTTGCTTCCCTGTACCTCTGTGTGAAGTCAGTTTACAAACGAGTATTAGATATGGCCAAGATATTTTAGAAAAGAAATAGAGCCCTAGCTGGTTGGCTCAGTGGATAGAGCGTCGGCCTGCGGACTGAGAGGTCCCGGGCTCGATTCTGGTCAAGGGCACGTACCTTGGGTGCAGGCTCCTCCCCGGCCTGGGCCCCTCCCTGGCCGAGCCCTGGTCGGGGAGCGTGCAGGAAGCAGCCAGTCGATGTGTTTCTCTCACATCGATGTTTCTCTCTGTCTTTCCCTCTCTCTAAAAAAGCAATGGACAAATACCCTCCTGTGAGGATTTAAAAAAAAGAAAGAATTAGAAATATAACTACTCTATTGAGCTAATAGGAGTTAGTGATTCGAGTGTCATAAAAATGCTTGTTTGAGGTGTAAAAGTCTCTTTTGTGGGTATTTAAATGTTAAGAGTTCCCGTTAAAGGGGTCAGAGTAAGTGCGTGTCCAGAATGGTAACACTGTCTGAACCTAAAACAAGGCCGAGCATCTCTGTGCAGAGACCTTCCCGTCTAAGATCTCCCTCCACCGCTTACGGCACAGCGTGGCTTCCCGGGGGGCTCTCCCCACGGGGGCGGGTGGGCCTCGCGGGTGAGGGGCCCCGCGCCTCCCTGAGGATGGAGAGCGCCAGGCACGCCGTTCTCCGCGTGGAGAGCTCACGTTCGCCGCGGCCCAGCCAGACGATGCTCCCCGCCGGCCAGCGGGCCTGTGCACCGGTGGCGAGTGCGGCTGGGGTGTGGGGGGCTCAGGCACTCACCCTTCTCTCTTCTCTGCAGCATTGTTGCTGAGACGTCCACGGGCTGCCTGCTGGCGGGGTCGGCGCTGGGCAAACGAGGTACGGACGGAGGGGTCCCCGGTGCCCAGCGCCGGTTAAACTCTACCTCTCTGTCGGGAGGAGTGATGGGTGTCAGGCTGAGAAGGAGCCGGTTGGCTGGTTCTGTTTAGAGTCCATCGCATTTGCAGTCTTTCCCCGGCTTTACGCCTTGAGAGGTTTCACACCCAGAGAAGAGCTGCAGGGCTGGTGAGGGCCCCTACCCCATTCTCACTGGCCCACCGTCCTGAGCATCGAGCTGCAGGATCGCTGAAGGCGGCAGCATCACAGCACCGTCCTTACGCCCGAGAACGTGTCTGCCGCCCACAGACACGCCCAGCATCCTCCGAAGCCTCTCGGTGCAAAGTGGGGTTTTCAAAAATACATTTTTATTGATGTCAGAGAGGAAGGGAGAGAGAGAGAGAGAGAGAGAGAGAGAGAGAGAGAGAGAGAGAAAGATCAATGATGAGAGAATCATTGATCAGCTGCCTCCTGCACGCACCCCACTGGGTATCTAGCCTGCAACCTGACCCAATTATTGAACTGTGACCTCCTGGTTCATAGGTCAGCGCTTAACCACGGAGCCACTCAGGCTGGGGGGGGGGGGGGGGTGTTCTTTTTTCTTATTTTTTTAAGCACAGACAGCGTTTGGTCATCATGTCTGTTGAGTTTCTTTTTACTACAGAATAGTCTCTTCTTTTCCCCCTCCTCTTGTGATGTGGACATTTTAGAAAGTCCAGACCATTTTCTCCTAAGATGTCCCACCCTTTGGGTCTGCTTGACCGTCTCTCGTGCTGAGACAGTCTGACACCCAGTGCTCAGGAGGTCGCACACACGGGAAGCACCTGTCCTGAAAGCCGCCCTAACGCGCTGAGGCCCGGAAAATGTCGCATCCGTGCGGGCGGGCGGGGTCTCCAAAGCCACGTTCCTGCCTCCGGGCTAACGCAGTTTCTCGCCGTGCCCTCTAGGTGTCAGCGCGGACAAGGTTGGCATCGACGCGGCCGAGATGCTGCTGGCGAACCTGCGGCAGGGCGGGGCGGTGGACGAGTACCTGCAGGACCAGGTGACCGCTCCGGGGACACGCCCGGGGCCTGTGGGGTTTGGACGCTTGGCAGCTGCGCCGAGTGCACATTTTAATGCTGACCTCCAGGCCCCGAGGGCGTGGCCTGGTTGCATGAGTCGTTAAAGTATTAGCCAGTGTGTGAGCTGTTTCTCCTTTCTTCCTTTTCCAAAAGCTGATCATTTTCATGGCCCTGGCCAACGGCGTCTCCAGGATAAAAACGGGACCCGTGACCCTCCACACGCAGACGGCCATCCATTTTGCCGAACAGCTAGCAAAGGTGAGCATCCCGTCAGAAGCAGCAACTGCTTTTTATTAGAGCCGATGTGGGGTCAGATTTTAAGAAACAGAAACCTAGTTGTCTATAAATTCTACATTATTTTATAAAGCTACATGATAAAGACTGTAGTAAAGAGGACATGGGCTGCATGTTCCTGAAAAAGGCAGAAAACAAAGCTGTGTGCATTAACCTTAAAAAAAGCAGAGAACCAACTGTAAGAGAGGAGAAAAATACGTAAATGCTTCATTTTTTAAAAAGTTATGAAATTAAAAGGTGTTTGATGTGAACCGCCCATTAGTTAGGCTTATGGTGTTTCTTCTCACCCACGCACTGAGCCCTCCCTGGTTTCAGGCCAAGTTCACGGTGAAGAAGTCCGAGGAGGAAGGAGACGCCTCCAGAGACGCCTACATCATCGAGTGCCAGGGGATCGCCATGACGAACCCCCACCTGTAGGGGCTCCGCCTGGGGAAGCACCTGTGTCACACCCTGTGTCACCCACCCCGAGGGACGCCGCCCGGGGCCCTGAGAAAGGACCCCCGTACGCTCCAGGCCGGGTGCGGAGTGTCTGGACCTGCGGGGACCGCGCCGTCAGTCCGTCTGACCGTGTGTCCGGGGCATGTGGGCCGGAGCTGTCCACAGGCAGGTGTCTGACCGCTGGGACCGGGGGAGTGTGGTATAAAGTGTTCTGTTCTCCGAGCCACGTGCTTGTCTTTCTTACGTGATGAGTGAAGTCGGGGTGTTGGGCAGCTGGGACACCTGCGGGGTCTGACCGCTCCCCACTCACGCCCTTGTTGTGCCATCGACTCCGTGAGCCTCTCATCCTAACCACGCACCCGCTCCCTCGCCGGCCCGGTGACATGCCGGCTGGTGATGACCTGTGTGCTGTGACCCCGAACAAGGAGAAGTGCGGGACATGCCCGGCTGTCCTTGTCCCGCTCGCAGGACGCGCTGGCCGCGGGTCAGACCTGGCGTGCCTCTCTCCGCACGGCCTCTCAGCCTCGCCGCGCCCACACTGCTTGTCTTTCTTACGTGATGAGTGAAGTCGGGGTGTTGGGCAGCCAGGACACCTGCGGGGTCTGACCGCTCCCCGCTCACACCCTCTCCTAACCACGCACCCGCTCCCTCGCCGGCCCGGTGACATGCCGGCTGGTGATGACCTGTGTGCTGTGACCCCGGCTGCTCCCACACTGCGTTCCCCCTGCCCCGTGGGCACCGGTTTGGACCTGAGCTAAAGGGCTGACTGTGCTCTGCGAAGGGATGCGTTAAAACTCGGTTCTGTCCAGGACTTCAGCCGGGGATGCTGGGACCGTCCACAACCTGGACCAGAGGGTGGCGTTTCCACACTCAGAAAGCGCCGAGCTGGTCTGTACAGAACGGCCGCGGAAGTGCACCTGTCCTGCTTCACTGTACTGGGAGGGAGGGAGGGAGGGAGGGAGGGAGGAAGGGAGGGAGGGAGAGAGGGAGGGACAGAGAGAGAGGACGGAAACAGGAAGTTAAACATCGAAAACGTGCAAGGCGGCTGTCTAACGGGCGTGAGGGCGCCGTGTACACAGGGTGGGCAGCAGCAGGTGAAATTCCCAGCCATCGTTACCCAAAAGGGAAGGAACAAAGTAATGAACAGTAGAGAGAGAAATCATACACATGAGTAGTAAATAGTGAATACATAACATTCACTGTTATTTATTCACTATTGTATTTCTCCAGGGAGGTTTACGGAGATGCGGCTCCCAGTTACCCCGAATTCTGACGGGGTAACTGGGGGATACCCAGGAGTCTCTGTTTCTAAAAGGACCCGAGGCGAGTGACGGGTTGGGACTGGCTACCTGACACCTGGGAGCAGCCCTGGCCCAGGAGGCTCCTGGCTGGGGGGCAGCTGGCAGGATCCAGCCTGACGTGGGAAGAGGGAGGCGCAGGTCGGTCGGTCCTTACCCCGTTGTCACAGGGTCAGATTCCAGAATCTCCAGTGGGAAGGCAGCAGCGTTGATTCAAAGTGCAGGGCGGCCCTGCTCAGGTTACCCGCCTAGGTGTGTGGGGGAGGGTCATGCTGGCGGGTCCTGTAGGCAGGAGGAGGCCAAGCGGCAGCATGACTGACGCTCTCTTCTCGCCCTGTCAGGGCCCCTCCAAAGCCAACAGACCAGCAGATGCACATTGGCGACAGCTCCACCGCCTCCTAGTGGTCAGCTTCGGTGAGGTCACCAGCCCTGGAGCCTATTTTTTGATCGCTCACAGAGGTATCAGCTGAGTTGAAATGCTTAGAACTCTTAGACCTCCATTCGTTTATAAAATTAGAGGCCCAGAGCATGAAATTCAGGCATTGGTGGGGTCCCCTGGTCGAACTCCCAGACAACTCCCGGTGGAGAGGACAATTTGCATACTATGCTTTTTATTATATAGGATGAAGACTAGAATCTGATACTCTTAAAATATATATATATATATGTGTGTGTGTGTGTGTTTATTTCAGAGAGGAAGGGGGAGAGAGAGAAACATCAATAATGAGATAGAATCATTGATCAGCTTCCCCCCTGCACGCCCCCTTTGGGGTTGGACCCCGCAACCCAGACCTGTGCCCTGACTGGAATTGAACTGTGACCTCCTGGTTCATGGGTCAACTCTCAGTCCTGAGCCTCACACTGGCCGGGCAGAGTCTCTGATATTCTCCCCGGCTCTGCCATTCTTTGTCTATTCAACCGGACCTGATTTCCATTTCTAGTGGAAACGTTGGGTCCTTACAGAACACGTGAAGTGGCAGTGCTGAGGTGAAAAGCCATCGGAGTCACTCTGCTGCCGGGGCAGGACACCGGAAAGCAGCCAGTGTGTTCCTGCCCCGAGGACTGCGGTGACGCTGCGGTGCCCGGAGACCGAGGGGGAGGCCGTCGGCTCCTGAACCGAAGGCCGTCTTCCCCCCCCCCCCCCCCCCCAGCCCCCCAAGAGCTGCCTTATCAGACGAATGCTGGTGCACGTCCTCAGCGACTTTCTGCCTTGGAAAAAGGGTGCCCATTGATGAGACACCCGAGTCCCGTCACGCCGGCCCAGCGAAGCAGCAATGACGTCGAATTCCTGAGGCGCTTTTGAGCCGAAATAGGGCACTGGCATCTCATCTCACGCCTGCCCCGGCTCAGGTGTCGCCCGCTCGGCCGCCCCCGAGAACACAAAGGGGAAAGGCTCCCTATCGGGCCGGGAGCCGGGAAGCCTGCCCTTTCCCACCCTCTCACCTTTCTGGCCGCCCGGGCCTGCCCCACAGCGGGGAGGGTGTGGACAGCTGACCCCGATGGAAGGCAGGATCCTCAGGCACTAACGCTTGCAGCTGAGATTTTTTTCCCTCTCAAATGCCCTTCACACCCCTCAGCTGGCTTTGCCTATTCAATCTCCCAGTTGTTAATTCTTTTTTTTTTTTTTTTTTTTTTAATGATTTTAGAGGGAGGGAGAGAGAAACATCGATTTATTGTTCTACTTATTTATGCACTCATTGGTTGATTCTTTTGTTGTTGTTAATCCTCACCTGAGGATATTTTGCCATTGGTTTTTAGAGAGAGTGGAAGGGAGGGGGAAAGACAGAAATAGAGAAACAATGATGTGAGACACAGTGAGTGTTGCCTCCTGCATGCACGCCGGCCAGGGCCAGGGATTGAGCCTGCAACCTACGTACGTGCCCTTGACCGGAATAAAACCCGGGACCCCCTCCGTCTGCAGGCCGGCGCTCTCTCCACTGAGCCAAACCCGCCAGGCCACTGGTGGATTCTCACATGTGCCCTGGCCAGGTGTGTGGACAGCTGACCCTTATGGCACAGGAGGGATCCTCAGGCACTAACGCTTGCAGTTAAGATTTTTTTTTTCTTTCTCAAATGCCCTTCACATCCCTCAGCTGGCTTTGCCTATTCAATCTCCCAGTTATTCATTCTAAAAAAAAAATGATTTTAGAGAGGATGGAACCCATAACCTTGGCATGTCAACACGGTGCTCTAACTAACTGAGCCACCCAGCCAGGGCCCACTATGCACTCCTGACGCACTGACTTGCAGGTGTCAAGTACCAAGCAGGTTCTCTCTCTCTCTCTCTCTATCTATCTATCTATCTATATATATATATCTATCTATATATCTATCTATATATCTATCTATCTATATATATATATATAATTGATTTCAGAGAGAAAGGGGGAGGGAGAGAGGGTTAGAAACATCAATGATGAGAGCGAATCATTAAGGAGATCAGCTGTCTCCTGCAACCCAGGCGTGTGCCTTTGACCGGAATCGAATCTGGGACCTTCAAACCTGGGACCCTTCAGTCCACAGGCCAACGCTCTACCCACTGAGCCAAACCAGCCAGGGCCCGAGGAGGGACTCTTCTTGGCGTCCACTTAGCGATGTCTCCATGGGGACCTCACTCCTGGAGTTTGTTCCTCTGAGGGCCCTTCCCCCTTTCCCATCTGTGGGCCTGTCTGCTCCCTGGACGCCTTACCCTCTCCCCCCCCCCCCCCCCCCGGGAGGCGGTGGATGGCGTCACCGAGTCCAGAAGGAGCAGAGCAGGTGGTGAGCCAGGCTCAGGGAAGCCACTGACGGGCCAGGAGCGAGTCACAGCAGAGAAGGAAGGGCCTCCACCACACGGTGGGAAAATGTTCCTGAGAGTCAGGGGTCAAGGGCACGTTATTTATTAAAATATATTTGTATGGATGTCCGAGAGGAAGGGAGAGGGAGAGAGAAACATCAGTGATGAGAGAATCATGGACAAGCTTGCCTCCTGCACGCCCCCCAATGGGGATCGAGCCCGCACCCAGGGCCTGTGCCCTGACCGGAAATGGAAACCTGAAAATCGTTCCCCCATGTTTCCCTCGCAGCTCCTCACAGCCTCGCCTTCCGCCTCTCCCCGGGACCTGCGTCTCAGACGAGGCGGACACGACCTCGCAGTCTGGCTCACGTGTGTCCCTGGCCTGCTCGCCGTGGCCGCCTCTCGGAGGGAGGTCTTATTGTCCCCCATGGGAATCGCAGCGTCTGTAACAAACTGCATGCTCTCGACAAGAATTTTAAGATGTTTGCTTTTCCAGCCCAGGGATGGTTTTAAAAGTTAACATGTGCACCGTCAGGATCACCTGCGTGCCCGTCGTATGGCCACAGGCTGCCATGCCGTCCCAGTGTTCGCACGCACACACATCACTGCCTGGCACCGCGGAGGACACGGGGACTCAGCGTGTGACCGGCGTGTCTGGACGAAGCGGAGGCGGGATGACATCATGGGACACTTGCAGACGGATGTTTTCCAGGGACTTAAGCACAGAGGATGATGGGAGGCGGGCGTCACTGCAGCCTGAGGGGGGCGGGCCTGTTTGGAGCGGGGCTTGCCAATCCCCTGCTCAGCACCTGCACGCTGTCATTACATAGCACTGCTCATCCGAGTGATTGTTACTATATGGATTTTACTATAATTTATAAAATTTAAAACCTAGTTGTATAAGATTTGTAACTATTATTTATTAAAATATATTTGTATGGACTTCGGAGAGAAAGGGAAAGAGAGAGAGAAACATCAGTGTTGAGAATAGAATCATGTATCGGCTGCCTCCTCCATGCCGCCCACTGGGGATCCAGCCCGCAACCAGGGCCTGTGCCCTGACCGGGAATCGAACCCTGACCTCCTGGTTCATAGGATCACGCTCAACCCCTGAGCCCCGCCAGCTGGGCTGTTACCTGTGGATATTT